TATATATATATACATATGTTGTGGTTGTTAACCGCGATTTGTATTATATGCACATATATGCATGTGTTATAAATATATATACCCGTCGCCACGTGTTATATATATATATATATATATATATGTTTACACAATGTTGTAATTGTTATATGTATATATACACATGTATGCACGATATATATAGATGTGTAGTGGTTGTAACCACGATTGGATTGATGTTTATATACTCGTCGAGTCGGTTTTTTATTAGGCTTTATTGGATTTTATTGGGCCTAAATGAGATTTATTCGGTTTTATTGGCCCTTAATGGGCTTTATTCGGTTTTATTGGGCCTTAATGGGCTTTGTTCGGTTTTATTGGGCCTTAATAGGCTTTATTCGGTTCTATTTGAGCCTTAATGGGTTTTATTCGGTTTAGTTGGGCCTTAATGGGCTTATAACACATAAAAATATGTACATATAACACATAAAAATGAGAAAATAGGGAATCTTGGGCAAAATCCCTCGCTGATCCCTCGCAGATCAGCGAGGGATCAGCGAGGGAATTGGCAAAAGTCAGATTCCCTCGCTGAACAGGTCAGACGCAGCTGAACAGGCCAGACAAGCTGCTGTATTAGCCCAACAGGCCGCATTATCGAAGCATTTTGCTGCGTTTATGCGGCAGTCATGATACGTTTTCCCACCTCCCCCAGATCCTGATAGTTAGGTTGTATGTATTCGAAGATTAAATTGTATGAATTGAATATTTTAAATTGTATGAATCCATATTTTAAATCGTATGAATTGGTTACTTTTGTTCACAAATTTGGTTTGTTATATATTATTATTTTCAGGTTTTTTAAAAATAAATACAGGATTTATGTATTTTTAAAAAAATTATTTTTTATTTTTTTTACAAATTAGCGACGGATTAGCGAGGGAAAATCCGTCGCTGAAAGTGTTTGAATTTCCCTCGCAAATCTGTCGCTGAAAGTTCCCTCGCAAATCCGTCGCTGAAAGTTTCCTTGCAAATCCGTCGCTGAAAGTTCCCTCGCAAATCCGTCGCTGAAAGTTCCCTCGCATATCCGTCGCTGAAAGTTCCCTCGCAAATCAGTCGCTGATCCGTCGCTAAATACATCCGTCGCTGATCCGTCTCTGAAAGTGTCCGTCACAAATCCGTCGCTGATTTCCGTTGCTGATCCGTCGCTGATAGCATTACCTACGACTGTTTGACCGACGGAGTATCAGCGACGGAAACCCCTTTCAGCGACGGATCAGCAAGGGAACCCAACATTTTTGTAGTGAAATTATTGTTATGAGAAAAACCTAGTTATATTGTTGCAACGGCATGAGAAATTCCTCATTTGCTCTGTTCCGAATAAACCACATAGTTTATTTAGTTATATATTTATGCCATGTTTGAACAATAGAATTTTATTTAAATTTGTGTTTTATATGTTTTTTTACATGACACTTTAATTGTTTAGCATTGGGGGCAAAAACCCTGTGTTTGATATCGCAAAGAAATTCAATCCATAGATAAGACCTTTCTAGAAAATTTGTCAGAAAATACGTTTTATTTTTTGATAAAATTTATGAAATCAGATAAATGAGAAATAATTAAGTATGAATATGAAAACATTTTTTTAATCTATGGAGAGAATTCTCTAGTTGCAAAAGTTGGATTGTAGACTAGGATAAATTACGTTTAAATGTCTGCAAGTACATGAACAATTTTTTTATGTTGTCCCTAGAATATGGCGTCCTTGGGGCTTTCGATTTGATTGTATCAAGAGGTCATTGTGGGGCAAGCGGATCATTTATGACGAAGAGGATGAGCTTCAAGTGAATGATTCGGAGTTCTTGCAACGTAGAACCGTGCAATACCAAACACGAGATATATTTTCCGAAGAACAAGGCCTTTTTCGAATAAGGAATTCATTTAAGACCCTGCAGATCCACTCTTTATCCTATTCAGAGATAACCTTTTGTCTCTATGTTTTCACATCGAGAATTATTTGTAGATGAAGAGATGTCAAGGGGGGGGGGGGTTACTCCCTCAAAATTTCCTCCTAGATATCTATCATCTGTATATAAACGTTGGTTAGAAGCAATAAGTCATTATCTAATGGATCTTTCCATTTTAATACTTTAGTTGAGAGTTATCAATATTTGTTTAATTTGTTCCTATTTAAAAGAACACTATTAGATCAACTGACAAAGACGTTGTTGAGAAAAAGATGGTTTTTCACAGATGAAATGCAAATTGGATTCATGGAACAAAAGAAGGATTTCTCATTCCTTAGCCAAAAATATTCCATCCGTAAATTCTTATTGATTTTTTTGGCTTTTCCATTTTTGACTATATTTTATTTAGGAATTTTAGTTCGAACTTGATGGTAAAATACAATGCAATATAAATGACAAAGGTATTCAATTAATATAATAAAATTTTCTAAAGCATGTGTTTTATTTTATGTGCTTCCATCACGTTCCAATACAAATCTTTTGATGCTATGATATGAAGGTGCACCCTCTTTTTACTATTTTTGGAGATGAGGACATGAAAAGTGCAAAGGCATTTACGTAAAAGCTTAGCTTGATCGATCGAGACCCTCATAAAAGGAGCTTATCCACTTCGGACATAATTAACAAGGTCTTTAATCTTTATATCTAGATCCATGTAGCATTTGCTGACACTTATCCTACTTGTTTTATAACTGTCATCTTATTAGTGCTCGAATATATTGATATCTTTTCATTATTATATACGTATATTTACAAAATTAAGCTATTAAATAACTATTATGCCAATCTTGGGTGTTTCTTTTAGAAAATGCTAGATATTTTCTTAAGTGGCTAAACGTCTTTTAAATTTTTTTCTTCTTAGAATTACTTATGTGAAATTAGTAATATTAATGAGAGTACGTTAGAAAATCTTAAGAATACATACAAATAGATATGTTTTTACAAATCCCTTGTTATAGCTAGCTAATTAAGAACGGCGTTTAGAAAAATATGTACTTCATTTAATCTTGAAATTAACAAATAAGAAACCCTAACAAACAATTTCAAGCATCCCATAAATAAATAAATAAATTTTGATTTAACAAATAAGCCTATATATTACACAAAGTAACAAATCATGAATGGTAGTTAACAAATTAAGAGAAGTATAAACACTTGAAAAGTTCTACCACGACTTGAACATCATTCTACAGAACGTTCATACACATTCTACTTTACACATTACCTCCTCTCTCAAAAGTCTCGTTCTAAATTGAGAAATACTAGAATTATTGAAATTATACTTTACGTAACTTAGAAACATATGTGTAAACATATACTTTTATCTAATAATTTATGACATTATATGGGAGAATTGACGTTGTAATCCTTTAGTTGTTGTTTGATTTCTTTCTTGTACTCCTAGCTTCTCTCTTTGCTAGCTCGTTTCGGTGGAATGCAATCTTGTTAAAAAAAACTCTCACGACATTTGAATATAAAAAATAATATAATTCTCTGATTAAGAATCAATATCTAAATACCTGTTAATAGAATATAATTAAAAATCATTATTCCTAACAATGATTGAAAAAGATTATTAATTAGAAGGTAATAAAAATACATTTTCAAAAACATCTTTCTAAGACAAGTGATGTTGCATATTTCTTTTACAATAGAGAATAAAAGATATTCCGTTTACGATAAATAAAAACAAAACAAATATCGTATTTCTTTCGAGGAAAAGTGCGTCAGTTTTGAAAACATTATGAAATAAGGCACTAAGTTTATAGTGGTGTAATTATCTTCAAATTGCATTTGATGAAATGTGAGGCACGAATGTTTAGCAACCGGGAACTCCAAAAAGAGAGGCAAAAAGTAAGATAAGCTTAGCAAATTAAGCTCATTTTGATATCCACTCAGGCCAATGGATGTCACCCACTTTTTAATTAATAATTACGAGACTTGGCAATTGGATGGATGGGTGGCATCTGGGGGTCCAAGGGCGCCTATCTTAAAATGGGCAGTAATTAACGAGAAAGTGTTTAGTTGCAAGACAGTCCCCTCCAAGATATTAATAAAAGACTCTTACTTTTACGTTAGATTTTAAAGCTATCCAAGTTAACAGTGGATCTAAACAAATATTATAATTTGTCACGTAAAGCTAATAAAAGACTTTTTTTTTTTTTCAAAATATACAGACATTACATTAAATCTTGAATTAATAATATATAACCGGATGCATCAAAGACTATTAATTAGAATCACAATTTATACCAATTTTATCCACAAAAATGTACGAATAACTTTTATTGATTTCTAAAATAAATTTAATATCGTTTTGATAAACTTTTAACTTAGGTAAAAGTTGATTATATCTGCAACCTCAATCGCAACCGATCTCACACAGAACTCGTATCTAAAGACACCATTCATATTTACTTTTTAACGCATCACCTAATCAATATCATATTTAGTTAATCTTTATATTCTTTTGAAAGAAATTCTTAACAGGGTCAGCCCTCGCCCATGGCTGTGATGGTGGTGGCCAGGGGCGTCACAGTCCCATCTTCTACCTTAGCTTAGTAAGCTGCTTAATTTGGGCTCCGAAAAACAGAACCGTTTCTCTAATTCTCTCTCAATCTCACACGATCTGCCCCTAACACTACTATCTCAACTCTCACTCGATTGATCGTTCCCAAATCCATCTTCACCTCTTGGACCTAATTAAATGACAAAAACACAAAACCTTCAGGGAAGACCATGGTCTCTTCGACTCTTTGATCTCATCTATGGATTTACTCATTCACAAGCTTTCTCTTTCTGGTGGAATATTGGCTCTCGAATCCAAGTATTTACTATTTAAGATTTTAGGTTTATAAAAAAGAAGACTGCTTGTCTGGAATATGGTCGAGTTTTTTGCCTAATGATTTTAGTTCAAGAGACAAGAATAGTTTGTGGTGGAAGTGATTGTGATGCTTTGTTTGCATCTTCATTGATCTAGGGCTTAAAATGTAAGTATAGTATAAAGAAAGCAAGCTTTAATTAAGTTTGCACAATTCACCCCACATGTCAACTTTGGGTTTTTCTACATGATCCAAAATAAAATTACATGATCTCATATGTTAACTTCAAATGCTGCGATTTGGCATAGCTAGAGATTGAACATCCTTGCAATCATGGACGTCTTTGCTTTTGTCCGATTTCCCAACCGTTGGATAAATATCATTACACATTAAGGTCTCCAACTTCACGATATCGATGACTTTATGATCATTTATTTCTGGAACTTTCTTCTCATCCATTTCGTTGATTTTTGCTTCAAAACTGGATAATTTTTCGTTGCTAACCGACTTCTTGTTTTTATATACAAGATATAGTATCATCTGAATTATGCCAAAGGTGAATCCAAGCACATTTGGAATCTGTAAAGCAAGTAGTAAGATTTCATTAAAAAAAGAGGGACATAACTTTCAAAAATGAGTTAACGAAAGATTGTAACTTTTCTCATACCGCGATATTGAAGTCACCAAGAAGTAGACCATAAAAAAACCACATGACGGCACTAAGGGTGAGGGCTACTGATAATAGAATTGGCATGTACTCTACACTTTTCGTTCTAATCACTTGTCGCTGCAAAATAATATGAATAAAAGTTAAAAAGGATCATATATATATTAGAAAATATATCAAGGTCAAATGCAAAATTATATATTTGCAGTGTCATCAATTAAATATATGCATTTTATCCATGTACATTTACCAGAACTCCCAAAGGTGCTACAAAAACACATAAAGAAAACACTAGGCAAATCCATCCAACTATCACCCCTCGGGTAACTCCACTTGCAAGGAATTGAGTTAGGACAACAATCAATCCGAACCCAACAACTATCAGCAATACAATTAGCTTTAAACTCTCCATCTGCATAACCAAGTTACTTTTTGTTAGTTTAACCTTCTTTAATGATAACAATGAATGTCAATTCGCAATGTAAAATAATGATTAACTTGAGCGTACCCTAGCCTTCTTTGGTGCATAGAAGAGAAAGAAACATATGTACACGGTTTCAATGAAGCAACCAACTGAGTTTATCGTTATGAGAAGCATGACATTRCTCTTCAACAATGCATAATATATCCAAAGCATGGCACTGAACAAACCCACCACATAAGGTGCCGACTGAAATCCTTCGGTTGATTTCTTTTTATAAACTTTATAAAACGTCGGTCTGCATTTTTTTAATAAATTGTAAATGAAAGTTAGTTAGACAATTATTCATCCAAGACTGAACTACAAGAAATCATGAAAAGTGGATAAAAGAAAACTAGAACAAACATAAAAAGACTTACAATGGTGCAAGAAATACCATAAAGGAGACCAAATTGCCTGGAAATATTATAAAGCAAAACGTTAATGGCAGAATAATGGATGGAAATACACATAAAAGAAAGGGAAGAGAGCAAGGCAGGAAGTATATACCAAGAAGGCCAAACGCTAGAGTGAGATGAGCTAAGTTTCCTGTCATCTTTCTTAATTGTTTACAAAGACAAGTGTATCTCTCCTTCCTCTCTCGCAAACTAATTAAGTGTTGTTCTAACAATTGCAACCCCTCTCTCTCTCTTGTTAGTGTTGATGATTGTTGTATAAGAGATGGTAGAATTGATCCCTTTATATAGGAAGCAAGGGTTATGGTGGTGGGTAGAGACGGATCCTTTAAGCACTAGTGGAAAGGTCCTCAGTCAAAAAGCAAAAACCTTTGTTCACTAGCTTAATTAAATTTGCTATTTTCACCCTCGTTCAAAGCGTCCTAATAAATTTCTTTATAAGATTTAGTTTATAGGACCAAAAAAATAAAGCGTCCTATCTAAAAGTGTTGTAAAAGTTTATATGACGTTTTTTAATGTCGTAATAAGTCTTTAAGAACACTTTAAATATAAAGCATCTCATTAGCAACTTTATATGACATTTTCTAAAAAATGTCCTATAAAGTTGCTAATGCGACACTTTGTATTAAAAATGTCCTAAGAAACTTGTTAAGACGCCCAGAAGCGTCGTATAAACTTATTACAACACCTTTATATATGACGATTTATATTTTGGTCCTATAAATGAAGTTCTATAAAGCGGTCTATTGGGACACTTAGAGATTGAGGGTGTCCTATAAACCCAATTTCGTTGTAGTATATGGTTTTGAAATTATGATTTTCATCCCTATGCTTTGTAATAAATCTTTTTCTTTTTCGTCCCTGATAAAATAATTCTATTATTGTTTATAATAAAATAATTAAATATTTTTAAAAAAATTAGTTTTTTTTTTAATTTTCTGGTAATTATAATTATAATTTTTTATGAGTGCAATTTTTGACACTAACATCGTTCAAGTGCAAGTCGTTGAGTACTACTTAAATAAAAATATTTTAATTATTTTTTATTCATTAAATAACAAAGTTTTATATTTTTCATAGGTACAAACAAGTAACTATTTTTAGACTATTTTTACTAGACAATTGTATGCAATTTTATTAATAAGACGTATAATTTTTTGGTCTCATAAGTCCTTTAGTTATACCCAAAAAAATATGTCTTGTATAAATATGTTGCAACAAGTTTATAAAATATTTTAGACATCTTTTAAAACATTTTTAAAATAAAATGTCCAAATTAACTTTTTTTGTATATGACATTATTTTTAAATATAGACCAAAAAGAAAAATCAATAGTTTGCACTTGAATGACGTTAGTGATAGAAATCGGACTAATAGAAAGGTAAATTATAATGACCAAAATATGAAGAAAAAAAAAACAAATTACATGAAAAATATCTAATCATTTTATTATAAATAATAACAAAATAATATAATTTTTTGTGTGTTAATTTTTATTTAAAAGTATATCGTTTAATTAAATTAGAAAACTAAAATACTATATAAAAAGGAAACCAAAAGGTATATTTAATAAACCAAAAAGAAAAAAGAATAAAAAAAAAGATTAAAATACATATTTAGTTTCGGAGACGAGAACAAGTTTACAACAATAAGTTATAAATCATAAGAACGAAAATAACAATAAATTAGAAACCATATAAATGAAAATCGTAATTTAAAAAAAAACAGAGACAAAAATCATAATTTTTCACAAACCATAGAGACGAAGATCATAATTTTTTTGATTAACCTGAATATCTAACCCGGTATATATATATATATGCGAGCCGACTAATCCCAAAAGATCATAATTTACTCATAATATAATTATCACATATGTCATATGTGTGTTACAAAGTAAATATGAATGAATTAACGATGCTTTCTCGATCGTTATAGTTAATTGCTTCCCATTTTATGATAGGTATCCCTCCGTTGGAAGTTGGACCCAGTTGCCAAATCTGATGTCAAGCACCCATCCACTTGCCAAGTTTCCAAATTCCTAAAAATGGGTACGTAATCAAACATAAAAATCAAGACGTGATTTGCTAATTAATCTTATCTAAACATGAAGACATTATAATGTACGAAAAGTGGAACTCTCTTTTTATGAGGTCTACCACGAGAGGGGGAATCAAGATGCACTTTTACACTTTTTCCTATAGTTGTGATCTTCAAAATTAGTGATTGGAGATGGTGCACCAGCATATACATGTATGAGCATCGAAATGGTTGTATTCGGATTATGTTCACATATTTTAAAGTAAATTAACGCACAATAATATATCTCAGTATACGTATAACATGCTAACTTATACGACCTTTGGTTACAACATATATATATATATATATATATAATTGTGAACATTTCTACCAAAGATTTACATGTGTTCATTACATTAAAGTGGAATAAAAAAATGCGAATGATGAAATTCGGCCAGACGGTTTTTATTGAGACCCGTTCGTTAAGCAGTGTGTATGCTTAATGCTTTGTACTTCTAAAAAATTTCGCACATTTGAAGTATGCACGTTTTCTGTGCATTTGTCATTTTTTTTTTCATGGTTCCATTAACATCTTAACAATTAGTTGTTTTAGACATCTCTTGGGAAGGCGTCAAATCACACTGTACACGGATAAATAAATTATGGAGACAAAGCACCTTAGCAATGATTAGGGCACCTGACTTAGGTGGACGACGTTGCATGATGCTAGGATTTGGATCAATGGCAAAAATAATGCACAACCTTTTGCATCCCAAAGGTTTATTATAATCTGTCCAAGTATGAAATACACAATACATAATTTTCAATTAGCTTTCTAAAACATCAACATCTTATCCATACAGACACACTTTTATAATGATTGTTTTTAACATCTAATGGAATCATTGTATTTTTGCATCATTCAATCCCAAAGGTAGTGTTAAAGACCATCAGCAATCGCATTTATAGCTTTATCTTGATTATTAATTGTTGGGAGAAAAACTTGGTTGTATATGTTTTTGTGAGGACCATTTAGGTATATAATCTTAAATGAGTTATTAGTTAAATTTATGATCTCATAATCTATTAAAGAAAACATAGCTTCATATTCGTGAAGAGGTCATTGATTTTAATGAAATATTATTTAAGGTTATATACCTAAATATATGGCCATGGCTAGACAAAATCTTAATTTGCTGATCTAATCCTAATTAATGAACCACAAATGTCACTTATATATTTGTCATGTTTCAACCGTATAGCTTTTTTAAAATTTGTGTTGTATATGTTTTATTCTTTTACATTATGTGTTAATTATTTAACATCTAGGCCGATTTTTAAGATTTTTAAGGGACTATTTTGGAGACAATTTCTAGGGTTCTTCCTTAATTTCAATTCTACAAACTTTTGTAAGTATATTTGGCTTTTAGACATCAAATATGAGCGGCTAAACTTCATATTCTAGCAATGAGTATGTGATTTACTTTGAATTTGGATTAGTAGAGACTTATGTTGATTTTAATATCATTTGAAACCATCTATGCGATTTTAGAGTTAAATGTTTATCGTTTTGAGTTGAATATTTTGAGTAGGATCTCTTGATATGTTTGATTCAATTTCGAGTTGCTAGATGAACTTTTAAGTCCGTAATTGTTTTTCGGTTTATCTAAGTAGCATACAACACACAGTTGATATTTATGTTAATGTTGATGTTATAAGATCATATAATCTAATATATACAATCGGCGCTCGATTGTCAATTAGTTTACTTGGTGTTTGTTTGACGTTAATGTAATTGACAATTAAACTCTAAGTCCGTGCCTAAGTTTGATTAGCTAATTAGAGAGTAGTCATAGAGTCTTCAAGGCTAATCATGCTTTTAAAATGAACAAAATATTGACGCGTGTCGATGTTCTAACCAATTTGGCTTCTTTTGAGAAAACGATTTGAATGAGTCGATGATACATAATCCAAAGGATTAGTCGATTGATGCTCATTGCTAGTCTCTTTCATTTTATTGTTTAAAATTCTTAAATTGTTTTTGCGTATTTAGACTTATCAATCATTGAAATCCCCTCCCCTAATTTTATTTAATGTTTTTGATACTCTTGCAGGTGACTACATCTAGGACTTATGGTTAACACCGAATCTCTAAGGAGATGACCCTTATCACTATCACAAGTTATTGTGTTTTAGAGGTAATAGACTTATTTTATAAATTTATTATTTGTCGGACTCGACAACTGTCAAGTTCTTACCTTTGGTAGGACAAAGAAGTTCAATCCACATGTAGTAACTTCTTTTGCTTACTTAACACGACTCCTATTAACGTTGTTGGGACAAGAAGCAAGCAAAAAGCATTGAACCTTACCTGATCTATATATGAATAGGAAATGTTATGCTAGTATCTACAAGACCTAAATTGTCAGCAAGCTCGCAATATAGGTACATATTTTTAGTGATTCCTTTTGATATTTTGATTTCACTTTGGAATCTTACAAGAGAGGTTATATAATTAAGTTTGAAAAGTAAATTAGAAGTAAAAAAGTAAGATTATTCTCGTTTTTCTTGTGGAAATGTAAAATGTAACCTTAAACAAACATCTATATCGAAGACAAATTTTGAATCTACAACTATTTGTTGAGAAAAAAACTACTATATTCAACAAGTGCAATAAGTTGGACAAAATACAATGATGAGACTATTATCTCTGTATGTCTCCTTAGAAATGATATAATCATTAGTCTCGACAAAATCACTTTTGTATATTATACGCTTAAAACATAGCAAAAAATAATGTTTATTAATGAAAAAGACTATACATATGGAGGGTGTCCAAATAATAAAACCATACACTACAAATGTAGTAAAATCTCAAAGTGAAGGCTACATAAGTATAAAGAAGGCAAGCTTTAAGTTTGCAAGAACACCACACATGTCAACTTTCGGTTTTCTATGTGGTTCAAAATAAAATTGATACGATATCATGTGCTAACTTCAATATCGTGATTTTGCAAAGTTTGAGGTTGAACATGCATGTGATCAAGGACATCTTTGTTTTTGTTCATTATTCCAATGCCTGGAAATATATCGTAATGCATTAAAGCATCCAACTTCATGATATCGACGATTTTATGATCTTCTGTTTTTGGGACTTTATGTGCCTCCATTTCAATGATTTTTTCTTCAAAACTGGATATCTTTTCATTGGTGATGGGTTTCTTGTTTTTATATACAAAATATAGTATGATTTGAATTATACCGAAGATGAATCCTAGCACATTTGGAATCTGTAGAGCAAATTGAAAAAATTAATTACATGAAAAGACATAACTTTCAACAACGAAATAATGAAAGATCGTATGTTTCTCATACCGCAATATTGAAGTCACCAAGAAGTAGACCATAAAAAAACCACATGACGGCACTGAGGGTGAGTGCTACTGATAGTAGAATTGGCATGTACTCTACACTTTTTGTTCTAATCACTTGTCGCTGCAGTGAATACATGTACAATAAGAAGGATCATATATATATTAGAAAATATAACAAGGTCGATTGCAAAGATTTTTTTCTCGTATTGTGCATTCACGCTTACCAGAACTCCCAAAGGTGCTACAAAAACACATAAAGAAAACACAAGGCAAATCCATCCAACTATCACCCGGCGGGTGACTCCACTTGCAAGGAATTGAGTTAGTACAACAATCAATCCGAACCCAACAACTATTAGCAATACAATTAGCTTTAAACTCTCCATCTGCATAACCAAGTTAAGTTTTTTTACTTTAACCTTCTTTGATGATAACAACGAATATCCATTTGCAATGTAGAATAATGATTAACTTGTACATACCCTAGCCTTCTTTGGTGCATAGAATAGATAGAAACATATGTACAAGGTTTCAATGAAGCAACCGACTGAGTTAATGGTGATGAGAAGCATGACATTGCTCTTCAGCAATGCATAATATATCCAAAGCATGGAACTGAATAAGCCCACCACATAAGGTACCGACTGAAATCCTTCAGTTGATTTCTTTTTATAAACTTTATAAAACGTCAGTCTGCATTTATATTGAATTGTGTAAGAAAGTTGGTTAGATAATTATTCATCCAAGGGCTAAAACTACAAGATATCATGAAATGTGGATAAAAGATCATTAGAACGAACATAAAAAGACTTACATTGGTGCAAGAAATACCATGAAGGAGACGGAATTGCCTGTAAATATTATAAAGAAAAATGTTCATTCGCATCAGAATTCAGCAATATGAAAACACACATATAACACAAGGGGATGAGAGAAACACAAAGGAAAGAGAGCAACACAAGAAGTATATACCAAGAAGGCCAAATGCTAGAGTGAGATGAGCTATGTTTCCTGTCATATTTCTCAACCAGTCACAGAGACAAGAATATCTCTAATTCCTCGATCGCAAATTAAGTGTTGTTTTGACAAATGGTACCTCTCGATCTCTTTTGTTAGTCTTGCTCCCTTTATATAGGAAGCAACGGTTGCGCGGTTGGTGGTTGCACGCACCAATATTATATCACAGCAGGCCACTTTGCTTCTGTTTCTCTTAGATTGATCAGACAACACAATTTAACATTGAGCAAACACATAATTGTTTACCCAGTATTTGTTGTATCTGAACAATTATAAAATTCATTTAATTTGGTTACATTGTTTTATAAATAAATTCACCTTGATTTAACATTTAAAATTTCTTTCAATAAAAATAATAAAGAAAACCTTTAAGAGAATATAAACGTCAAAAATAAATATGAATTAAGTAACATGCTTTCATTATATATTGGGAGGACTATCTTACACTTAACTAAACCAATACGCATTTTATCGTTAATTACTTCCCAATTTTAGATGGGTGTCCCTTAATTGGATCCCTCAGGTGCCACTTCTCATGTCACCAACCCATCCAATTGCGCGAAGTTAGGACGAACGAGACTCCTAATTACTAAAATTTTATGGCATGCACTGGTCTGAGTGGCCAGGATAATTACACATAAATCTAAAACGTGTTCTGCTAATTAAACTTATCTAAACACAAAGACCTTATTAATGTACAAAGTGGAGCTCTCTTTTTGTGAAGGTCTATCACAATGGGGGGAATCAAGATGCACTTTTACACTTCTAATGTTGTTGTGATCTTCAAAATTATTAAATGTAGATGGTGCACCTAATGAAAAGTTTTCATCAAATTGTTTGATCTTGTGAAATTGTTTCATATAATACTTTTTTTGATGAAGTTGTTGCATATATGGTTATGAAATTGTTTCATATAATACTTAGTGAAATTTTAATGAAACTGTTTCATGTATTTCTCTAAAATTAAAATAATGAAGATGCTAATTTCCATGATTAACACTTTCGACAATAAAAATGATTAATCAACCTCTCATAATTACTAAAAAATGAACAAAATGAAAAATTATGATTGGTTGAATGAAGTTCGTACAAATAACGTGGTTTGCAAGTTTGTTGTTCTTTCAATGTTCCAGGCATCTTAACAATTTGTCTAATTACCCTTTGCTTCTTTGAGGCTAATGACATAAGAGATCAAACCAATAATAGTCTATTAGATTGATTGTATTGCACAGGCCATCAGTGTGGTAGGTACACTGTAGGAACTCTGTTTCGATTTTTGGGGATGCTTTCTCCCCGAACGACCCATCAACCGATAATTGATTAATTAAAGATTACCCAGACCTGGACATTCCAGATTCTATAATCATCCAACCTAGATGATAACCGATGTAGTTGTCTATATATTAGATAGATATAGTAAAAGTTAGATGCGATGAACAAATCTAAACCATATTTTACCATATGAAAAGGGATTAGAAAGAAAGCGTAAATGGTTGAAAAGCCACTTGTTTCGACATTTTTGATATCACCCATTTAATTTGGTTGATCCCGACTAGTAGATGTAACAACCAAAAATTAATGGCTCGAAATTGCGTACGGTTGTTCCATTAATTTTCCCCTTCTTTTATTTACTCTAGTGGGGTTCAAAAGTATTGCTTCAATTTGTTTTTCTTCCCTACCAGCCATGATAGCTTCTTGCATTCTACTACTGTCACCTTAGAGGATCTCTGAAATCACAGGCTCAAAATCTATCTCTTTCAATTGGCCAAATCATTTAGTAAGATTATAATACCAATCACTTAGGTGAGTGCGGGAGGGATAACACATACATCATGGGATCGCGTTATGGGATATACAACCAGGATCTATATACGCCATTTAATAAGTTGGATGACGTCCTACGACGCATATTATATTATACTTCTACTCATTGATATGTTTTGGCATTTGGGAAGATTGCTCCGGTATAGATTGGATCAATCATTTGCTACGTAGTGGATATTTTTTTAGTACTATTTTGTCCATTTCCTTTTCTAGTTTGAGTTGATGTGGAGTTGCTTTATTGTTTTTTATGTACCGTTCATGAGAGTGGAGAGGAAGTTTTAAAAGACTGTTTGGATTGGGTTTTATGATGCAGTAGCTCCCTTGCATGGCTCACCCGCCTGAAATTATAGCTCAAAACGTGATGCCCATCCAAGGTGAACTGTGATTTGTATGAATCGAGAATCTCCTTGTAATTAAAACGTCAAATTGTATGAAAAAGTAACGTACTTTAACTTGATTCCTATTTTGGGTAACGTACTTTCAAACTTTCATTTTGGTACCTAAGATGTAAAGTTGTAAATATTTAAGTACTTGGGTAACCAGTTGAAGCATTAACCGGTTATCATGCTGATGTGGCGAGTGATGGGATGAAATTGGGTTGAATAACAAATAATACTGAAGTGGATATATAGACACAAAGTATATATATATATATATATAGACACACACACACACATATATATATATATAGAGAGAGAGAGAGAGAGAGAGAACAAATATCAACTACAAACTCGATATTAATTTGTTACAAATCCGTACAAACCAATCGAATAATGCGTTTGATTTTAAGTTATAATTGATATTGATTCACATGTTTTGTTCTTACGCATGTGTTTACATGTGTGTGTTTCTATTTGAAACATATAATATTGATATATTTTTCCACATTCAAGACAATCCCAAAAACAACGCTGTATTTTTTTACATATATTGTTTCATATATAAAATAACACATAAAAATTGGTTTGTAGGTTTGTAAAAAATATTTGAAGATACTCACAACATCTATACAACATTGGACGATGATCAAGATGACATTGATGAAAAAAGCTAGAGGAGTGAAGAAAGACAAATCTAATTAAACCTGTGGCAAGTGGACAAATATGCCATCAAGAAAATTTTAAAAGCATGATAAAAATTAGAGATTGAACATCATAAAAAACCGAGATGAAGTTACAAAGAGAAGATGCTACACCATTTTAATAGAACAAGTTTTTTAATAGAACGAGTTTATTTCTTTTTTTTTTTTTTAATTTAATTTTCTGACGGAAATCCGCCGGAAATGTTAAATTTTCAAAAAAAATTTATTTATTTTTCTGCCGGAAATCCGCCGGAAAATTGTTTATTCTTTTTTTAGAATTTTTTTTTATTTTCCGCCGGAAAAATTTTAATTCTTTTTTTAAATAATTTTTTAGTTTTCCGCCGGAAATGTTAAATTTTAAAAAAAAAATTATTTATTTTTCCGCAGGAAAATTGTTTATTTTTTTTAGAATTTTTTTTATCTTCCGCCGGAAATGATTATATTTTTTTTTTTAAAAATTTAATTATCCGCCGGAAAAATGTTAATTCTTTTTTTAAATATTTTTTTAGTTTTCCGCCGGAAATGTTAATTTTTTTTTAAAAAAATTGTTTATTTTTCCGCCAAAATCCGCCGGAAAATCGTTTATTTTTTTTTTAGAATTTTTTTTAATTTTCCGCTGGAAATCCGCCGGAAATGGTTATATTTTTTTTAAAAAATATTTAATTATCTGCAGGGAAATCCGCCGGAAATTGTTTATTCTTTTTTTTAGATTTTTTTTAATTTTCCGCCGGAAATGTTAAAATTTTTTAAATAAAATTATTTATTTTTCCGCCGGAAATGGTTATACTCTTTTTTTAAGGGAAAAATTAAAAAATCCGCCGGTAAAATGTTATAAATTCAAGATTAAACTGAGTACTTAAGAAATCCGCCGGAAATTGTTGGAAGTCAATAAAATGTTGACTTTTTTTAGTGTCCGCCGGAAATCCGCCGGAAATTTACCGGCGGATTTCGTCGGCCGGAAATAGCGCCGAAAATGCTCAGTTTTCTAGTAGTGTTCAACAACTACCAGCCCCAGGACCTCGATTCAAAATACGAATTGTAATATGGTGTATAAAATTGTGAAAACAAGACACAAACAATGTGAAAAATAAATTTAATATTTTCAGTTCAGTGGTTCAATTTGATAAGCAAATGTGCAGAAATTGGTAGAAAAAGATTGTGAAATAAAATTTGAAAAATGTTTTTTTAAATGGATCAGATAGTCGAATACTAAATCTTGTTCAAGGATACTTATTTGGTCTAGGCTGAGACCATGTCCATCTTGACCTATTGTTACACTTCACTTCAAAACTATTTCCTGGTTATAACTAAGACGGGGTAAGACAATAAGACCCGATCTTTGGCCATACCTAAAGAATGGAAGCCAAATTGGCCATTTTCTCAATCATTTGAACTCTTTTGTTTCATAAATCCATAAATCGTTGATATATATTTTGGTATAAGGTTTACCCCTCTAATTTGAAGCATATATTTTGGTATAAGGTTTACCCCTCTAATTTGAAGCATTTATCTCGAATTTCGAGTCTTCTCCCATAGTCCATCAACAATCGTCGTATATGGTGTATATAATTTGAACTTTTATCCGTGGTTGTTACGTACTAAAATAACTACTCTGATTTTAAATGTTAAACAAGGAAACAATTACTTGCATATTTGGCTTAAAAATTACCATAATCAATGTTAAGAACAAGCAAAAAAATCGAGCTAAACTTCTAGGACAATCAATATGCAGTGGTTGGAGTGTGTAAAAAGTTGGATATTGCTTGAATTTGTTAAAAAAAATCTGGATATAGATGTTCATATTTATATAGTTTATACTCGAGATGACTGGTACATAATAATTTTTGTTTGTGAAATATGTTCAATGAAGATGAAATTAATGTTAAGAGACCGAGAGGGGTATGATGAGAATATCACGGCGTTAACGAGTAAAAAAACATAGTGACTTATCTATTAAGTAAGAGGTTTATTAAGTTAAGCCTTGAACAAACAAGCATATATTACTTATTAAATAAGTCATCCATCCTATTAAGTACATTTAGTTCTAATCAAGCACCACCTAAGTCCATGTGATGCGAGTCTACTCCCACATCAAA